AAACGTCAGCAATTGTGTTCTAATAAATTCTATATTAACAACCTCGTGTCTGCTTATTGATGAAAAACATTGAATTATATCTCCACCACCACCTGAGTTGCTGCAGAGGATAAAGAAACTGAAACATTATTTTGCTGCAAAATATCTAAGACGGCAGTAGTTCAGGCTTTCGAAAGTCATCCCATCTTCCAGATCGAGAACAATACAGATCAAAAGCGAAACATGGATGAGCTAGTTGTGTAAAGACAAGAATCAAGAATCGGCGGCGGGTAGACAAAACCGACTGCGGAGTGGACTACAGGAGGATGCAAGTGCTCTTTCGGAGGACTATTTACACAGTAAGAGATGTCACTTTAGATAGCCAGCTGTGATAGAGGTTGTGAAATATTTATGAATCACGGAATAGGTTAAATGGACGGTTTTCACTACTACCACGACTTCGAATTTGTCTAAATAAGTAAGTGAGTAAATAATTTTATTAATTTCTTAAAAAATGTCAGCAAGGTTTCCTTATGGTAATAATTTTGTCTTAATCTCTGGAGTTCGGCATGAATTAACAACTGCCTTAAATTTAAAATTGAACACTTTTTTTGAGGACGAAACACTTCTTGGATATGAATTGAAGTCAATACATATCTTTACAAGTGTCTTGAATCGCCTCAATGTATATGTTCGGTTAAGCAAAGGGCTAAAATTTCAGGATTGAAGCTACTTAGCGCTACTTCTGGGTTGTACATTATGTCGCTGAAGACGATCGAGAACTAGAAGGTTCCAGTTTGTTGCTCACAAGGATTATTCCAGCCGCGAACAGCACCGGCCTGACTCGTGGCGGCCGATTAGGTGTCGCGACAGTCGTTTTGCATAAGCGGATCGCCTGCCATGCATGTCAGTTCACAGTTTGGCAACTGTAACTCGATAGCTTTCGTCTGGTCATTCCATTCGCAGTCGTATTCTCCATCACAGTTCCCAACATCTGTCTTCTCTTTGGCATCGAAATCAGTCGTTAGTCGCATATTTACAGCCTGCAAAGAGTCATATTAACTCGTAGTCTCCTCGATCAAGCATTTCTACAATATTGAAGCAGAAAATCCTAGGCTTAGATCTCAATCCGCTATTTAGAAATAGCTTCTAAACTCACTTACGACATAAGCAGTTTCCCGTCCGCTGCGAACTTTCTGCTTTTTTGAAAATGAACAATAATTTTTCGACAGCTAGAGTAATTGAGGGTTTGTAAACATGGCAGAATTATAGAAGAGGATTTGATCTGTCCTTCCAAAGGTATGAATGATATGTATGCCGGTAATTCGGTAGTACCCTGCCATTAAAAGAAGAGTAGGCATTAAATAAAGTGACAACATTGTGAATTATACTACAGCTTCAGCTTAACTGAGTTCATTGCCGATTTGTGCTCCCAGATCAATCCTGGGTGATTGTTTATAACATCTACAGATCAATAAACGGTTGAGTGAAAGTCGAGACGAAGGACGCACATGGTGTGGTGGTGAACGCGTCAGTTCACGGAAAGAATAATAAGCCGTTCGATCTCCACCGCAGACACCTGCGGTTCTGAGTTCTCCAAATATCTCAGCATATGGTAAAAAAGTTCTGGAAAGCACTGAACTGAAAGTGGACGCCATGGCGTCCACAGTGTCGTGAAATGCTTAAACTGCTACCTCGGTTAAAAATTTCATGCCATCTCATCAAAAACACAGCAGTATTCCGCACGCCTTCCCCTTTTCGGAAAGAGCAAACATCAACGTATCGCTCCCAATTTACCCCTATTCGGTCATTTTTACGGTATGATTTATAAAGATTTAAATACTTTTTACATATTTTAGAACCGCTGAAGAGGATGCCTCTAACACGTCCAGATTCTCTTCCACTTCAACCAACTTTCCAGCCCATTCAGCAAGTGAGACATCTAATAAAGCATTAAAATAATATTGATGAAAATGTGAAATCCACATTTGGCGTTTGTAGCTGAGCAAGTTGTAGGATTCTGAAGCTGACCATTGTTTTTTTGGGTCAGGTTTCTGATTATGCGGTGATCAGACTGCTTCGTTGTGAAGAAAATGTTTATTCCGCATGTCTTGGATCATAGGTGGTGGTTTGACCGAAATCGAAGCTGCTATCTATTTTCGAGCAGTCACAAACAGACCTCTATATCGATGCTTTTAAAGCCATTAGTTCTCTTGCTATTAACTTACTCATTTGTGCTTTTATGAGTCATGCCTGACTCATATTGGGAGGGTAGTGTGAGTCACGTGTGATTGACTGCGCGTGTTTAGAAAAATACAGTTTTTATTCGGCTAACTGAGAACCAAACACAACGAATCGAATTTGAAAAGTACATAGGCCGTACAGCACGTAATTAGCCATCTATGTATCTAAAAAAGTACCTAGTTCGTTGGTTGCCTTTATTTTATACGAGCCGTCTTCACGTCTACTGTGCGGGTCCCAACACTTCTCACATTCGATTCGTTTCCTCGCATTCATCATCCAAGAAGCTCATACAATTTTTATGTGTGGCTTTGGCTGCTGTCTGAGGATTTTTCTTTCATCTTGAATATCGTTGAATGCTGGTGGAATCGATTCTCTCTGGAGTCCTGAGATAACCATGCTAGAGCGTTCCCAATTGGATTGCAGAGAGTGGTTTGTTTTGGACAAGTCCGGCACCAATTTCACGACTCTAGAGGGATGAGCATGCCTGTTGAGCTCGGTGTGGGATCGAACCAGCACCGTGCTCGTGACGATGGCTATCACTGCCATTATGCTACTCGCCTCCTTATTGGTTGAATTGGCAGAAAGGAGCTAGTTAAAAAAAACTGTGTTTAGACCACATCAACAAGTCTGTTATATTCCGTAAAGTTCATCACTGGACGGGTTTTTTTTTTGTGGTAAACAACTTAGACTTTAAAAATTATTCGCCAAACACCTCCTTCTTCTTCTTTTTCTTCTACTACTCTTTCTTCCTTATTTTACTATCTCGGTTCCACTCTATATTGTATGTCTAGAGTAGGCTGATAATGGCACAAGATCACAAATCGATGTTCGGACTCTTTTTCGTCCGATTTCCCATACCTCGTACACATTTCGCTCTTCTTACAGTGTGGTCTGGCTGAATTCAGTCCAGTTCGGAACTGGACTCATAACATCTTCGTCATTGTAAAACAATCAGCAATCTCCTTGGCTTCTTTTCATGTTGAACACAGGTGAAGCATTAGCTGATAACGCCATTTTGATACGTTATCAGCAACATCGATGAGATAAAAACGAACCTACTGCAAGCGCTTTCCCCTAGTTCGTCTAAAACACTCGGAAGATGACCTTCAGAAAGGTATTACTTCATTTTTCTCTGACTGTCTCATGCAGCTCCGGTTCGCATGATGACAAGTTCAAGCCCTAGTGCCAACTTCGTCTTTCTCAGTTGAACCATTACACGGAAGAATTACAACCAATCGAAAGAAACACGCATGAATAGCTTAAGCTTCAACGATTCAGGACGGCATTCCGCAAAATTGCGTACTCTTCGTATGCACAACTTCGTGTTTGAATCCGGTTCTCGTGATCGCCCATCCTTGTTGACTCGCTCTCGTTGATCCATTATCGATGACCTGTCCAGTCCATTTGTCATCATGCCTAGTTCCTAACTCGGATGTTTCAATTATCCCAAAGCTCAAAGAAAGCCTGCTACATTCCTTACTTGTTTATACGACTCGTCTTCCCATCTGCTAATTGCAGCTGGTCTTGCCTTCGATTTCTTTCCTCCTATCCATCATCCACAAGGGCCTTCGAACATCTCGTTTATGGGTTTGGCTACGACTTGACTTAGTAACCTAGTAAACTCGCTAATTTGGAGAGAATTCCTAATTTTTATGCATGGTATTTGACCTATTGGGTTATGAGTGGAGTGTTCAACGGTGCTTAATTTTTCATCATCGTCTTGTCATCTCACCGTCATCTTGTCATCTCATCATCATCTTGTCATATCATCACCTTTATTGTCATCATCATCATCGTTATCATCTCTTTGGAAAGTATTGTCATCCTTATTTCATGAATGTTGTTGAATACTGGGCGAGTCCGTTGTCTGGAGTAGTGGGATAAAGCGTTCCAAGCTAAGCTGGCTAGCCTTGCTACAATTATGTCCTAGTGTTTCACACAAGCACTTTCAGTTTTAATAATGAGTGGTTTTCAAACCGACTCTCCTTTAACCTCGGCACTAGTAATCGTTACCTTTTTGGAATATTGAGCTAACACTTTGACGGAGAGATTTATTCGGCTGACCTCACGACGTCCCAATCTTGGACTATCGACTCGAATCGTCGGCTCTAATGAAGACGAAGACGTCGAAAGGTTAGCTGAGTAAATCTCTCTATCAACCTTATGTTAGCCTAGCAATCGAAGAAGATAAAAATGAATGGATTTCTGCGTTGCATTTCACGTACTACTCTGCCGTGAAAAATGACAGGTACTAAGTAAAAGACGTTGTAATGATGGATGGTTTTGTCCGAAACCTGTGATGAGGGCGTGCGCTTGTTGTAAAAACAAAAATGATGTTGTGGGAGAAGGAATCGACTTGTGTTGTGACTTACTCTGTGTACTACTTCAGCTTATTCTGCTTCCAACTATTTGAAAGTCTTCTATAATAAGTTCTTCAGATCTTTGTAAATGTATTAAAACTGGTGTTTTATCTTCTGGTCACCATATTACATTTTATATTCTACATACATGGAAACGCCCTGTAAGACACATCGAGTCGATCCCTGCGCCCAAGGTTCACCAGGTCTTCCATCCCTCAGCGTTTGGCAAATTGGTATCAGGCTTGTCCGGAAGGATAGAAGAACTGGCGCAATACATCGGTAGGCCACCGCGAGTCATTGTAAGGGCCAGATATGCATTCAGTCACCTCCAACGATGCTTAATGAAGTCGAATGCATGGCGCATCCCTTAGCGGCTGATCAGCGCTGAGAACTTTATCCTTTCTATGCTTTATATACATGGAAAAATTTGTTATGTATTTCACCACATACGCAGGTAGTCCCGACACGGCGAAACTTCACCGTTTTACGTGCGTGTAAAATAAAAGAAGGGTAATACTCTCGGCGTTGATCAATCGTTGAGGGATGCGCCTTACATTCGACTTCACTAAGCACGGTTGGAGGTGACTGAATGCATATCTGGCCTTTGTAGTGACTCGCAGTGTTCTACCGATGTATCGAGTCAGTGCAGCTATCCTCTAGGCAAGTCTCGTAGCAGTTTTCTGACCCCGGAGTGATAGAAGGCTTAGTGAGTCCTATAGAAAATATATATCAAAAATCTAATAATTGCTTAATTCTAAGTAGTAATATCAGTGTTAACTTTTTATTTGTTGATTGTCATTATTTTTTACGGCAGGGTATGATGTGAAATGGAACCACTGTGAGGCTGCGATATTTGCAAGACTTGCATCCCAAGCCAGGTCGAACCTGCGATCACCCTTTCCGAGGGCTCACATTTTACTCACGACACCACTGAGGCGCCCACTTTGCCTTTCTCTCGGCCAGTTTTCTCATTAGTATTAATAATAGTAATAATAATAATGCAAAGATGCAAAGCGTATCATTTGGCTTCATCAAGCATCGTAAAGCTGTTTGGGTTCATCGTTGATCTGTTGCTTCTTTAACACCACGTCTACGTAGATAACATTGAAACTATGGCTGAGTATTGTATCGACAAAGTGATAATTGTTATTATTAATTTTTCTTTTTACTAATTCGTCACTTTAAGATGTCACGACGGAATGCTAACAGGAGATGCTCAACAACTACTAGGAGCACAGCTCAGGGATCCGATCGAGTGTACGTACTGGAGCTCAAATTTCAATAGAAACCTCAGTAGATAACCTCAGTAGATGTGCCATTTTACAGTATTATTTTGTTGTCTTCTTGTCTTGAACGACATGAAAATCCCTTCTTTACAAGTGATGCGATTCAGATCTGATGACCAACCAGTGGATTTTCAAAAAATGCTGGAAGAAATGAATGATGTTGATCGTGATACTGGCGAACGACTACGACGACATCTCCAGTTTTTCTTCATGAATCCTCTTGAAAAATGGAGGGTTCGTGTTTTCGAAGTGCCATAAGTGACTGTGCTCTTTGCACGATTTCAATGTTATACAATGCTGAACTCTTAAACGAGGCATTTGCATTTTTCGAACGCTAATTTTATAGGACATGTTTCAAAAGGAGCGCGTGTGAAACAGTGGTCGGAGGCTGCTTGTTTACACATGGGATCGATCCCCGCGTACCAGGTTCACCGAGCCTTCCATCTGTTCAGGTGGTCGGCAAATTGGTACCGGACCTGTTAGGGAGGATAGGAGCACAAGCTCCATGCGTCGGTAGGTCAGCACGAGTCTTTGCAAAGACCAGATATGCCTGCAATCGTCCAATGATGCTTAGTGAAGTCGAATGCTTGGTGCATTCCTGAGGGTTTGATCAACTCCAAAGGCTTCATCCTTTTCATTTTTGTTTTAAAAAGATGTCGTAAACGCAGAATAGTTCTCATAACTGATTTTGGATTGGTTTAGTAAATGGTGAAGCAGATTCAGATTTCTACAAAACTCGAGAAATGGACACGATGTCTGAACTAGCTCTAAAAGCTAACGCTATTTGCGTTGATCTATCCCTGAGGGATGCACCATGCATCCGGCCTCATTGAGTATCATCGGAAGTGATTGAATGTGTATCTGGCCTTTACAATGATTCGCGATGACTTACTGATGGATCCAGCCAGTGCGGCTATACTCCTGGGCAAGTCTGGTACTAATCTTGCGAACCACGGAGCGATGGAGGGCTTGGTAGGCCTGGGGCTCAGAGGTCGATCTCTTGTGTATTGCCGGGCGCCTCCGACCACTGCGCTACTCTCGAACCCATTTGAACTTTCTCTGTACTAGAATGTAGAGAAATCATCGTAGTTCTTTGTATTATGATTGGACTTTGCTCCTGCTATTTAGATACGACGTCAGTTTCCCTACAAATTAACATTACAAGTACTAAAAATAATCTTTGTAACTTGTCAACTAATCTTATTTGCCGAGATGAGAATGTCTCATGTTGATTTCATGGAAGATACAAATACGGTTATGCGACACAAGTTTTTAAAGGTAAGATGTGTACCGTTCACATTTTTTTCCTTATTTTTGAGCAAAGACTATTTAGTGCTATTTCAATATCTTTAGGATTGGAATGATGATAGAGATGCTCTACAATATCCACCAGCTGAAGGCAGGTATTCAGTCTATGATGGCAAGGGGATCTTCGAGCATCTTGCTTTCATAGTCGATTCGGTAGGTGCATTTGGTTTCATGACTCTTCTTTTCCTTTTTTCTTTTTTAGTGTTTTCAGGTCATTTTCTATTTTGAATTATTCTAGTATTACTCTCTACAAACGGATTCCTTTGCCTCATTCAGCTATGATGTACAGAAGGCTCCAAAATTTGATGATCTTAGACGTCATTCTTCACTTACTACTACTGTAGACTTCGAGAATATTCCATACCTTCAGGTTATTATGTTCGCAATACTTGACCGAATAACTCTGTTGTATCCTCGCACATTATAGGTCTGCGTCGATAGGATTAATAATGTTACTATTAACAATAACACTTACGAATTCGATATAACAGAAATACACGGTAAGTCTCTGAAATGAATAAGGGTGGAAAGATTTCCTCATTTTCAATCTTCTTCTAGAGTGTATGCACCTGAACTTGACCATTTCTGAGGTCAAGGAAATCAAAGAGAATTACACAGCTGTAGTTCGTGCGTTCGCCAGAAGAGGTAGTTCGCTTAGCTTATCAGGCTAAACCTCTGATCTAACTCTAAGTTTTCGAACACTTCGTTTTCCAACTGGTATTTAAGGTATAACATTCAAATCCGAAGATTCTCTAATAATTTCGAAAGCATCGCTCAATTTCAAGCTAAGAACGATTCACTTCAGTCCCAAATCTGGTGATCAGAAACCGGAATGCTACAAAGTTGCTGTAAGTACTATTGTTTTTATAGTTGTTCTGCCAACGTTTGACTGAGTTTTCTGTAAGCGTTGTGCTTACGGGCGAAACTACATTATAGGTGTGATTTTACATTTTGCAGAATAGTCATCAAGTCAAGTTGTAGGTATCGATCATTTTCGATAACTCTCGTCACACCGGACAAGTGCATGTCTTGCTCTCGACCATTATTTCCTACGTTAATGTTTGTAATGGGAGAGTCATTAAAGGTATCTCTAGTTTAATTTGCAGGAATTTCGCATTTCTTAGCATCTTAACTGAGGCTTCCTCCCAACGGTTTATTCTCTCGTCCTGACTGTGAGGTGTTCCTAAGTGTTGGGTTGCTATATACAGCTGGGTTAGTTATCCCCGGCAGAGTATGCCAAGCTGAGAAGGAGTCCGGCGTTTCCACCAGGAAATTCAGCTAAGAATAAACCAATACCACCCACTTTTGTGGTATCAAACTTGTCGCATGGTGGCAAATCTTCCCCTGATACACAAGGGCGGCGACTGCCTGGAGTAGTGACGACCTGAAGAAAGCTTCGGCTAGGCTAACCTCGGGTCTCCAGAGAACCACAACGGCTAAATCAGCAAAGCTCAGAAAAAATGGACATTATTCTGGGGCCCACACAATCACTGAAGACGAATCGTTCAGCTATTCAAGTAAGTAGCCGAGGTTTTGGTTCCCAAAAATTGTCGCAATTTACTTTAGGAGTTGGGCTAGGTTTGGACACATTGGTCGTGGGCGTCACCGACATAATCGTGTTGCTATTGTGCATATTTTCGTTGGTGCTCTGCTTCAGAGCTCTAATCAAAGCTCATCTACTTAAAAACGTTGGTGATCTTTGCGTTTAAAGCGGTTCGATGTTCCCACTTGATTCATTATGTGAACTTTTAAATTTTCATTCCATATCAAATATTGTATCATTTCAGAAAACAGTAGAGTATTTCGAAGGTATGTTCAAAACAAAAGTCTCCGTTTGTGATCAACTGGACTTTCTCAATTTGTGGTGCGTAGCCTTTCGCACTGTTCTGATGTTTTTTATCATTCTGCTTATAGGTATGTCATGATAGTTATTAACGACGTCCTCATTATTGTTGGAACTGTCAGTAAAATCTCAATAGAATTTAGGGTAAGTGTTAATCAGTTACATAATTACATGGGTACTTGGATGGCACATCTTTACTAGTTGTGGGAGCCCCAGCATAATTTCCATTTTTTCGGAGTTTTGATGGTTTAACCATTGTCGTTCCCTGGAGTCTCTAGGTCGGCCTACCCAAGGTCTGCCTCGTCGCCACCACCGCCGGTCGCCGCCTTTGTGGATCAGATGGCGATTTGCCGCCATGCGACTAGTTTGCTACCAGAACGGTGCTGGTTCCTGGTACTGGTTTACACTTATCTATGTTTCCGGATAGAAAAGCCGGTCGCCACAGTTTGGAAGACGCTGTTGGGCGACCGAGACTCCCCACTTTACATCACATTATGACACAGGAGCGCTTCCCAGTCACTATGAGGCTGTAAACCGTTGGGAGAAACATAATTCCTTGATTAAGTGCTGGTTTAGCTGGGTATTAACCACGTTCTTTTTTTCCTTAACAGTCTTCTTTGTCCTAACCCTTTTATTTACTACTTTTTTCTTTTTAATGGCAGGGTATGTTGTGGAATATAACTCGTATATAATGCTGAGATATTTGCAAAACTCCGGACCGCAGGTGTATGCGGTGGGGAACAAACGCGCTATTGTCCTTACCGGGGAGGTTCTTAAATGAAAGGGTTAGGATTGTGATTATAACTAAGCCTCAACTTAACTGGGTTCAATGCCGATTTGGGCTCCCCAGATCAATCTCGTTGACGGGTGATTGCTGATGGCAAAAGATCAATAGAACTAGCTGAGAGACAGGCAAAACGAAGGACACGGTTGGTATGGTGGTGAAGTGCGCTACTCCCCGGAAAGGACAATAGCGCGCGTTCGTTCCCCACCGCATACACCTGCGGTCCGGGGTTTTGCAAATATCTCAGCATTATATACGAGTCTTCTTTGTATTCATAGACCCAACTGGAACAGTTTTATTGTTGAGGACTTCGACAATTCAATTTTTACACTTACTGGGATTCTGTTAGGAATGGGTGCACTGCTAGTTTATGTTGGTGTATTGAGGTATTTCGGCTTCTTCAATCAGTATAATGTAAGTCTTACTTTTTCTATTAGTTGCTCTTTTTGTATCTCTGAGGTTTACATAGGAATACTCTAGTGTGAAAACGATTTTCTCCAACTTTTTCATTAGTAAATATCTATTTTGTTGCTCATTTTGCAAGGTCCCAATTCTAGTGAACATATTTTTCCTCCTTAATCGTTTTTAGCTACCTCACTTACCAAATTCTGAGGGGCGTAAGTATAAGCTTCGGCTCCTTCAGAACTCAAATGGTACTACAAGATTCATTTTGGAACTTAACAGCAATGCCTATTTCTTTAATTAACCTATTTGGTTGTTAAGTTTGCGCAGTGGTGAGATGGTTTAGTGATTTCATGATACAGGATTGGCCTTGTCAGTTTTTACGAGATTATCTAAACAATGTTTTTAATGCCTTGGTGTAAATTATCTTATTAATAAGCTTCCCAACCATCGTGAACAACACACGAGTGGTTCGACGGGAGAGCTCTGAGGAAGACGAAGCCGCCGAACCTCGCGCCGGCTAGAAAAGGGCAGTTCTTATGAACATGTATACAGGTGTAACAAGCTTGCCCGACAATGTTATCAAAAACGCTTTGCTAATGGCGTTCCGATGCCATCATTGTCGGAGTCGCAGTGATTCGAGCCGAATATTGATAATTATTCATTTCTGTTTTTAAGTTTTCACAGTCGCATCGAGTGAGGTCATAAAGGCGAAACCGTTCTCGTGGAAATAGGTAGTCTTTAAATGGCCTTCAACCAACTATAAAGGAGCCCTGCCCTGTGAGTTTGCATCATTCGTCCAGTATTGCTTAGACATCCATTGATTCGAGTCACCAAAGGTACACATCAGTAGTTAGGTTGTCTGACGAGTGGATTTTACCCATACGAATCAACATCTGAGTGGTTGATCAAATGCTGAGGTGCATTTGAATAGGTGCTTTCTTGTACCATACTACAGTTTACCTTGAGGAATTTTTCTCGATTTCTTCAGTTTTGTCGAAGCTGTTTGTTTTTTAAATTTCGCTCTTTTTATTTCGGTGGTTGACCGAACGTGCATTGATGTCAATTCACTCTCTTCTTACGAGGTTTCTAGTTGCATAATTTGGTTTCCTCACACGTTTTTCTATTCTGTTCTGTGACTTTGACTTGGTATCCCGTCTCCTGTTTACCGTCTTTGCTCTACGAAGGTTATGAAAAAACGAAAGAAATAGTCCTTCCAAACACACTGTCGACCGCTAGTAACGTTTCGTAAAATATACGAATTATAATGCAGTATTTCGTCTGTTTTTATATTCTCCGATTTCATACCGTAACATTGAGTCATCATAGTAACTGAAAGTGAAACAACAACCGGCTGGCTCTTAAAGAATTGTAATGGGTTGATTCCTGTCAGCGACTAATAAATTGTGCTTCATTTTCAATTTCCTGCATCTCTCATGCTACCCATCGATGGGGATCTGAAGAGTATCGGAGAATGAGGACGAAGATGAAGATGTGCAGTGACCGAACAGATATTGTACTGGTCTGTGAGCCTTTCCACGAGTGTCGATATGGAGTGAACCAACTGCTGCTGCTTGGATGCACAGATCCAACATATTTTTATGATTTGCTTATGGCTGATATCAGGAATCTGCCTATAGGAGATTCCAAAAGAGATGCATAAGAAGTGAATGAGTAATGATAAACGAGAACTGTTGAGAAGTTGAAGAGATCTATTGACCTCATCCTGAAGATGAGAAACCTTAAGCTTATATGTGGAAGTACTACAGAGTCACCTTTTCCCTTTATGAAATGCAATCCTGTTGCGTCCAAACTATGGCGGAATGACAAGATACATATTTTAAAGGCCTATGATTGACCTTCATTTGGCCGATAATTCGCGTGCTAGACGGAGTGAGTTCATCAAAATGAATCCACATATTTCTATTTTTTTTTTATATACCACCAGTTTTCACGTTTGTTGTGCAGATTTCAGCACTTCTTACATCCGATTCATTTCCTCGCATCCACCATCCATGAACGTCTTTCAACTTTTACATATGGTTTCAGCTGCTGCTTGATGATTTTCATTTCATCTTGAATGTCGTAGAATGTTGGTTGAGTCCATTCTCCTTGTAGTCTTGAGATAGTCGAGGTGAAGCGTTCCCAATTGGACTACAGGGATACAGGGAGTGATTTTCCCCCAGACAAGTCCAGTACCAATTTTCCGACTCTGGAGAGAGGAGAGGCTTGGTGAGCTTTGGGCGGGATCAAACCAGCACTGTGCTCATGATGATCTGCGCACCTACCACTTTTCTATCCGCCCCCTTGAATCCACATTTTAATTTTGTGAGCAAGAGTTGCAAAAGAGTGTCAAGATCACAAACTGTAAAACTTGAAGTTCTAATATTTTTTTTATATGGAAGTAGTGATGCCGACCATTATGTACGCGGTCCTGGTTCGATCCCGCTCCTGGCTCACCAAGCCTTTATCCCCTCCAGGCGGTCGGAAAATTGGTACCGAACTTGTCTGTGACTATCCAATCCATTCCATTCGGGAACGCCCTAGCCTGGTTATTTCAGGGCTTCAGGGAAAGTGGGATTGATCAGTATTCTACGATATTCAAGGTGAAATAAAGTCCTTATGCAGCAGCTCAAGCCACACGTAAAAGTTGGAAGACCTTCGTGGATAATGGATGCGAAGAAACGAATCGAATGCGAGAAGTGCTGGGATCTACATAGCAGATGTGAAAGACGGGTCGTATAAAAAAATAAAAAAATTGTATGTAAACTGTGTAAAATCTGTTCGAGATAATGGGTGTTGTGATGTACTGTAAGTGAAGCGTGGGAAATGTTAGTTGTAGTAATGGTCTATTGTAACATAGACGCTGTAGAGTACAAAGTTCACTAAAGGTTACGAGAATTTTAGTGGTGATTGTAGAGGAGCGACTTGAGGTTCAAAAGTTCAGTATGCAAGCGCATCAGAGATGTTAATACTGGCCAACCATTTCAAATCGTACGTGTAAATACAACTAAGATGATGATGAGATATTTGCAAAACTCGGGACCGCAGGTGTGAACGCCTTACTCTCCGGAAAGGACAATGGCGCGTTCGTTCCCCACCGCAGATACCCGCGGTCTGGAGTTTTGGAAATATCTCAGAATCATCTTAGTTGTATTTCACATGATAGCCTTCCGTTAAAAATTATAGTGGGCAGTAAATAAAAAGGTTAAGATTGTGATTTCGTACGCGTAAACTCGTCTGAAAAGGGTTCTTTTTACAAATTATCAGGTAATGGAATAGCGCTTAAGCAAAAGCACCTAGCTATTCATTATTGTTGGATAGGCTTTCGATCAAATACAAAAGCGGCAGAAAAGGGTCTTTACGGTGAAATAAATAACCGAAAAGAATATGCTTTGAACTAGATGTATTCGATACATTGAAAACGATACATGTGTTCACTTACATTTCAACATATTTTTCATAGTGGTGTTTTTTAAGCCCTTCATTGTATTATTTTCCTTGTTTTTTTCATTACGACGGGTTGACATTTCAAATAGCTAGCGCTTTTAGTTTTTGTTTTAGATCTTGATTCTCACGATGAAGAAATCGATTCCAAATATGGCAAGATTTATGACATGTGTTATTGTTTTGTACGTTGGATTTCTAATTGCTGGATGGGTTATTATTGGTCCTTACAGTATGAAGGTGCTTATTAGTACCATTTTTCCTCTCGCTATATTCATTTCATCACAAATTCTAGCATTCTCCTCTCATATGGTTTTCTTTTACAGTTCCGAACTCTTCGAGAATCATCTGAGGCGTTGTTTTCGTTAATGAATGGGGATGATATGTTTGCAACTTTTTATACTATTAACGACTCAAACACTACTATAAAGGTATGTTGTTACTCACTTTCAAATTATATCTGAATGTTATGGGCACGTGTGGCGCAGTGATCGTAGGCACCTTGCAGCACACACATGGGGCTGATCCTCGCACCCCTGACCCACTAAGCCCTCCATCCTTTCGAGGTCGGCAAATTGGTTTCAGACTTGTCTGAGAGGTTGGCACCACTGGCTCGATAGATCGGTGGGCCACCGCAAGCCGTTGTAAAGGCCAGATATGCATTTAATCACCTCCAACGATGCTATAGTGAAGTCGAATGCGTGGTGTATCCCTCAGAGATTGATCAACGCTGAGAACTTTATCCTTTATGCTTTATAGGAGAATTCGATAGGAAGCCTTAAAATATTTAGGTGTTTGGAACTGTATACATCTACTGTTTTGTGTCGATGTTTATCTACGTTGTGTTATCCTTGTTCATAGCTATAATTATGGATGCGTACGAGGTTGTTAAGGTACGTGTTTAAAATGTGTTTCACATCATTTTTCTTTTAGAGACAGTAACACAATTAAGTAAAGTTCTAACCTTGAAATCCGTGCTCACCAAGCGCAGTGGTAGATTGGAATTTTGCTAGGAAGTACTGCACCATAAAATTAAATCTACTAATTGTAATCGTTAAATTTTAAATTCTATGGAATTTCTACCCTGGAAGGGCTTTAAATGGGTTTAAGATTCAACAGTGACTGCCATGATACTAAGATATTTGGAAAACTTGAACTCAAGGCTAGTTTCGAATCCGCGATTACCCCATTCTGTTGGCTCACGTGTTACCCACTGTACTACCGAGGCTATTACTTTGCCTTTCTATCAGCCAATTTTTGACCCTAACGGGGCCATCATCAAGTACAGTCTACGGGAATGATCTAATAAGCACAAATGGTGATTGAACTCTGTTAAGGTGCTCGAAATCACATTGTTTGGCTTTTATTATTTTATTCTATTTCATAGAGTAAAAAACTGATTGAGGGAAAGGCAAGGCAAGGACCTCGGTAGTGTAGTGGGTAACATTTGATTTCCCGGAAACGGTAATCACTAGTTCGAATTTGGACGGCGGTCCAAGTTTTGCAGATACCTCGGTATCATTGTGGATTTTTTTCTCATAATACCCTGTTTCGAAAAAAATAATGGGTAGGTAATAAATAAAAAGTTTAACGTTGTCATTCCAGTAATGACTCTTTCGCTCTAGCTTGGAAATTCTTAAATGTTAGTTTCTCATTGGGTATATTTAGGCACTCTAGTGTGATTTTGTCTAGAATAGAGTTGTGTTTAGCCTAGCGTTATATTGTCCTATTGACGTTATTCTTATATTGTCAAAGAAATGCCATTAAATTTGAATTTTTTTAGGATCGCTATTGTTACGGGATATATATGGAGCGTTCAACCCTCAAAGATTTTATGGCAACCATGCCGTTTCCTGAGCCAAATTCACCAACAGCGCAGGAGCAATTCGCCCCACAGGCACTTTTGAATCTCGGTCGGTAGGTTTTTTGTTGCTGGTTGGGCTTGTGTGGTGATGCTGCTTCGTCGATCACTAACATTCTCACTGCTTTGCATCGTCTTTCTGTGAGTGGTTCATATTGTTGTTGAACATTATGAGTTGTATTTTTCTGAAGTAATGGTGAACCAAATAAGCTTACTTACTATTAACAATGGACAAGGTTCATATTCTTTCTAATAGCTCAGTTTTTCATTTTCTAACTTGCACATGAATAACAAGTCGTCATAACTTACTGGTTTTCTTTTTGTTGCTTAAGTGCGCTTTGCTACAAGCGTTGTTTTTTAATTAACCTATAACCGAGCTGCATGGTAATATTTTCGAAATCTGGCAATATTGGCACAGAAAAGAGATCACAGAAACTGTACAGATGTTGCAAGGTCTTGTTGCAAAACGGTAATAGTGCTATCTCTGTTTTAACGACGCAGGATGCTAGGAACTTACAAACCATGACCTAGAAATAGAATACAACTAGGGGTTCATTACGTGTTTTGCCCTTCATAGAAACAATTTCTGGACTTTGCGAGAACAAGTCTCGTCATGAGCTCCAGTTTTTTGCTTTTACTTCTTGCTGTTTAATTGAAAGCTTTACAGTGAAATTACAGTTTTCTGTGACTTCATGAGTTAGAAGAATTTCATAGGATTTGACAAGCTCTGTGGTTCTTTTGTGTTTTCGAACGTGGCTGTCGCTCTGACTCAGTAGCGGGTTGTATTAATTAGTGTTAGATGTTGGTGGTTTCGTTCATTTACGTAATGTTTCCCTCTGCTTTTAAATGGAGTGAATTTTTAATGTCCAGCTAGCCTTCAACGCGAGTAGCGCAGAGGTCGGAGGCCCGTTACAATACACATGGGACCGATCTCCAGTCCCTAGGCTCACCAAGCTCTCCATCTTTCCAGGGCTGGCAAATTGGTACCAGACTACTCTGGGAGGATAGCAGGGTCGATACATCGGTAGACTATTGCGAGTGAAGGTCAGATATGCATTCAGTCACCTCCTACGATGCTAAATGCTGAATGTATGGCGCATACTTCATGGAGTGTTCAACGTCGAAGACTTTATCCTTTGTGTTTTATTAGTTAACCTTCAGTCCAGTTAGCACAAAATGACCAATGCTGGTTTTTCGATAACTACCGGTGTAGCAACTCGAAGAGTTAGCGTACTGAAAGAAACGATTTTCCTCTATCGTTTCACGGATATAAATAAGGTGGAGTCTTCCCTATAAGTTTACTCTAGTAGTCATTCTATAAATTTTAATGTAGAAGCCACAGATGCAAATATCAACGACTTGTTTTGAGCCGTGAATTCCGGATAAGACCCTTCGCTGTTCAATTGTTTTCGTGTTCGAAATACGAGTTTCGTGAAAGAAAAAATCGAGAACGAAAATCTAACTCATCCCCTTCGACATTACGGATTTTCCTTCTAGTGGTCTTACGAAATTTGTATCTTGTCGGAAATATCCATAAACTATTGCTTTTTATTTCTATTAATAATGTAAGCTGTACCATGTTTGTTTAAAATTGAGCTCCAATCCTTTTTGGGCACTTTTGAGTTTTAATCCATGTTGGATATGGTTTGACATGTCTTCAAGAAGTGAAGAAGGGGAAGCTGTGTATCTCTCTGCAACTCAACTCTGCTCAGCTAAATTGATATCGTCGCCAGTGTTCAACAAATTGCTCTGTTTGAAGTTTTTACCGATGTGTATTACCACTTCAAGTTTAAACGTTTTGGAGGTCTCATAGTGGAAGTTATTTTGATCGAAAAGGTTTCTCGTTTTGTGAGATAAAAATCGAATTCTACTCTTACGAACTTCTTCCAGATTTTGGGACCATTATTATTGGACTACCTGTTTTTAATGGTCATATGTTATGGTACGGAAATTCCTGCAGTCCTTTCTTTTAAAGGACCTTAAATTATCTCTTGTGCCAACATTCGTTGCAGCTTCTACTTAAGTTTGGCTTGCTTTAGGGGCTGGCAGCGACTCGAATAGCGTGAGAGCACTTCATTTTGTCGATCGCATGCGTGATTGGGCCTCAAATTTACAAAATGGTTCCAGGTCCGTCTTCTGTTATCATAACTTATTGCCTGTTTTTGTTGAGTACTTTTCTATTTGCAAGCTGGTTTTTCTTCCTTTCTTGAATAACACATCGTTAACAACTCGTACTGAAAGTTTTACCATACGTTATTAGTTGAAATTGTCTATTTTTGTAAGCTTCTTTCACATTCCTTTTGCCTAGTCTTCTTGTTTTCGCAGCCTGCGCCATTTTTTTACTAAACTTTGTGCTCTACTTAAGTGATTTTGTGATTTTTACTCCCATCCTAAAGATGTGTCATAGTTTTGTAAGCTTTATCGAGTAGCATAATTTCTGCATCTAGTACGAACGATGGGTTCTGGATTTCAAAAAATTAATCCCATTATTGGCTCATCAGCTCAACGAGGATGAATGATTTGATCCTAAATTTAGAACTGGAATGATAAACGAAGGTTTATCCTCTCAACAGTGTTACTCAAGTTCAGGAATTTGGCACTGTAGTATATATATATATATATATATATATATATATATATATATATATATATATAGATGAGTAAGCTAATTCCACAAGAGAGCCATTCGAACTCTGTGTTAACAAGTTTTGACAAAAACACTAGGAGTGTGGTGCTCCTTATCAAAGGCATGGCGGTGTTTATGTGGTTCTTAACTGTGAAGTTCAATAAAAAGCTCTGACGTGCTGTAGGAATGCATGGAGACTAAATCTGTTATCGTTTGTGTAATTGTTTGATGAACTGAATTACATGTGATATAGATAATCGTAATGTAGTTTTTTCTGTTTTCCCTCGAAACACTTTAATTTCAATTGGAGCAGACTTATTCGACACTATATTTCATATTGCCGATTTGGGCCTCCGGATCAGTGCCATTGACGAGTGATTGCTGATAGAACTGGTAGGTAAAAAAAAACTAGCTGATAGAAAGGCGAAACGAAGGACCCGCATGGTGTGGTGATGAAAGCGTTACTCCCCGGTTAAATGACATTACCGCGTTCATTCCCCACCGCAGTCACCTGCTGTCCGGAGTTTTACAAATATCTCAGCATCATTATGGTTGTATCGCACACAGTATCCTGCCGTGAAAAATTGTAATAGGCAGTAAATAAAAGTTAGCACTATGTTTTAGTTTTATAATTTCTACAACATGGGAGGATAGTAAAGCAGTTGTAGTGATTCCGTTCAATTCGCAAAGCTCTGATTCGACATCATCCTGGGTCAAACACGCCCTTACTCTTCCGTGGTCAGGAAATTAATGCCAGATATCTCCGGGTTTAGCTAGTTAACTGCAATCCTCAAAAGTTTGCAAGTGACTGTGATGTGGATTTGGGAACGCTTTTGAGCGGTCATATGGGAACCGCGGGAAAATCGAGTCGATCAGAATTTAGCGATGTTAAGGAGACAAAATTCGAAAGCATAAGCCGAATTCGCGAAAGGAATTCGAGGTTGAAGGTTGCGACGAGATGAATCGATTCCACAAATTGCTGAGATCCGTACAGAATGTGATGTGTTGTCGAGTAAAATCATTTTGTACAGCTATAATAATAGATTCCACGTAAGTGGGCCTGCATATATTGCACCGATGGTGCCCATTATGTAGAAATTATATCCTGGTACATCGCTGAATTCCTTCCTTTTACATTTATATATGCATATATATACGCACATATGTATATATGTGTATACATATGTATATACACATGTTTATGTATGTACACATATATATATATATATATGTATATAGGTATTCAAATATATAGACGTATTCTTTGTTGGATATTTTTTCGATATGTGAACGAATTTAACGAATTTCATTGGGTATAAGGCAAATATGGCTCATACGTTTCCGAAAATAATTGCACCTTTCGATTCTGACATATTGGCGATGATGTGGCAGTGTAAACCACCATATTTCAAGCCTGTGGTCGACTTTTTTCAGTTGAAATAGAACTAAATATTACGGTCTAAAATGTATCATGGTCAACATTTCTATTCAGCAGCGTTAATGTTTTTAATTTTTGTTCTTTTACCCTCCTTTTTTTTTCGTCTTTTCGTCGACGTTCGTACTTGGAGCCTTAAAACAAACGTGTGGGATTTCGCAAGTAGGACACGATAGCTCTCTCCAACGTTGGTGTTTTCTGCCATGCTCATGTTAAAATTTGTAAAGGCTTAAGCATAAGTTCTTTAAAGATCAATTTTGTTTACTCGAAATTGAAAAATCTTGAAAATTTGGCATGCCACTATAGTAGTGGGACAGTAGCTTTTCCATAATCTTGTCAAGTTCTCAATTCTTGCATTCTGGGACAGCGTAATGTCATTTTAAGGAAATATGGGTGTTAAATTGTTAAATCTAAACTCGCTACTCGAGGCACAACTCCCAACGAAAAGAGGAGATTTGTGAATATTTAAAATTCCATTATGGCAGAGTAATGAGTTCGACACTGCAACGAACTATTCGCGCCCTCCACTCTTGGGGGCGTGCCTATTTGTGCCATACTTGTCTGGAAAAGACTTCCCACCGATATAAAAAGGCGAAAGATGCACTTTTTTTGTACTTAATAATCAAGGAACGGTATAGTAGGACTGTCTCTGGATTTCAGGAAGAACCAACTCGATGAACATTAAATGACATTTATGAATCTCACAAATTTATTAAAATTATCACGTGCTTTTATTATAGTATAACTCGCCTTTCGTAAAGTCAGTGCGTTGTCATGTAATGCTTTTCCTTCTTTCATTCCGCACGTCCTGCTTTTCCTTACGCTATTTGTCTATCTGAAAAGCCTGTTATAGCAATCTTCAGATTTGGTCGTTCCATAGTGATAGGGCATTGTTTTATTCTGATTGTAATGAAAGAATTTAGATTGCGAATGTTCTATGCGATTCTACATTGTGCGGTCTCGATATCAATTCTAGAAGAGTGGCTTCTTCGGTTTTCC